TTATTTATATATATATATATATATATATATATATAGCATTTATTAATTAACGAGTCCCCGCCGCAACAACCTATCTCTTTCCGGGACCAGTAATTTGGATGGAGACGGGGCGGGCCCACGCCGGAATTTCAGCGTTCTCGCCGCCACAAACCTCAAACCCCGAAGAGAGAGAATCAAATTAAAACCAATTAAAGTTTATTATTTCTATATAAAAATTTGATTTTTGCCACTGAATGCATGAAAAAATCATTATTTTAGATTTTTTAGGTGGTATTTTTGTAAAAATTGGAATTTTGGGCTCAGGGAAGCAAAATATATAGGAATTAAAAGGCATGCATGCAAATCTTCTTTGTTTTTTTTTGACCAAATTGAATCCCAAAATTATAAAAATTTGATTTTTGCCACAAAATTATCCCTTAAAAAATCATTATTTTAAATTTTTATTTATTTTTAAAAACAAAAATATGGTATTTATGTCACATTTGAAATTTAGGTATAAGAATTAAAAGGATTGTATGCAAAACTTCTTTTTTTTTTATCAGAACGAATCGCAGACTCATAAAAATTTGATTTTTGCCATGTGCTATCTGTATTTATCCATAAAAATATCATTTTTTTAGCATTTTCTGATTTTTTTAAAAACAAAAAATATAGCATTATGTAAAATTTTAAATTTAGGGGGCAGATAAGCAAATATATAAGAATTGAATGGCATCCATGCAAATCTTCATTTTTTTTTAAGTCCAAAATTATAAAAATTTGATTTTTGCCTCCGAATAACATGTGCGGGAATAAATACCTGAACCTGATCGCCGACGTTGACGATAAACCCGCCGGGAAGCGGCCGGACTGTGACCCATCGGCCGCCATGCCTGACCTGCAACCCCTTCACCCTCTCATCCGGCAGCAGCAGCGTGATCCCTCCCGGATCGGAATGCGACGAAAGCCCTAGGGTTAACTCCGGCTGCGGACATGTGGGATAGTAATTCACTCTGATACAAGCCCCTGCATCTTCTCCCCCAAATCCTCTCTGCAATCTCCCTCCATCCAGCCCTAATCCCACCGACAGAAGCTCCATCACTCTCCAACACAGCCTCCTCAACTCCTTCCCGTACTCCTCCACCGCCCCCCTGCAACAACGCCGAATCAGCTAGAGGAAGACGAAGACGAACAGAGATTATTAAAAAAAAAAGGCATGAGTTGAATGCATTATGCCTCAGAGAAACAGGGAGGGAGGGCCACTTGTCCTGGTTCTTGAGACACAATGGGGTGAGATGGAGGAAGTAGTAATCTCCCCAATCAAGAATGGCGCCTTTCTCTATCCCTAACCGGCTGCCGTAACCCTCGTAAGTCTTCGGGGAGTTTGAATACGTCTGCTTCGTCGCCATGGGAAGGTGGAAGAACTCTCGCCAGGCCTCCATGATGGAGCTCATGAGCTCCGTGGGGACGCCGTGGTTGACAGCTTGGAAAAAGCCCCAATCTTTGCAGGCGGTGGAGACAGCCGAAGCGGCGGAGGGATCGGCAAGATCGACAGTGGGGATATTGACATCATCATCATCGCCACACAGGGGGATTTCGAGGCAGGGGCGATCGGGGGGCGGCTTGACGTATCTGGGAGGGACGGTGGGGGTGCCGCTCTCGGAAAGGGATTGGACGCGGACGATTGGTTCGGGCCAATCGGTGAGACAATCCATGGGGATGAAAAAGATTGGATTTTTATTTGTGGTTGATTCATATAAGGATGGATGGGGAATTGGGGGACTGTTGGGAGGAAGCTGTTGGGGAGTTCTTTAATGGCGGTGTTGTGATTCCGGCGGAGGAGGGAGGGGGGGGATTTATACATGGAGAAGGAGGGAGCCTGCCCACGAAGGGTGGGGGTTGGCGCGCGCCAGGGGGGAGGGAACAGTTGCGGTTAGTTAATGTGGAGAATTTTAATTGTTTGTGCTCTTCTTAATGTAAAATACAAGATGTGGGACTAAAAATTAAGCATGCGACATTTATGTACATGCCATAGATGTCTCATGTATTTATGTATCTGACTTCAAGTATTTACATATTTAACAGTTATGTCAAGTAATCATGACATAATTATTTGGTGCATTTACACTCATGCCACACAATTCTTATGTATTTGCTTTAAATGCAGGGTGTAGAGTTGAAGTCATCATTTTTGTCTGAAAAGATTAGAATTAAATCCAACTTAAATCTGTCATCATACATCTCCTTTTAAGAGTTTTGAAATTCATTCCAGCTACATTTTTGACCAGCTTATTCTCCCCTGCTTCTTTTAGTTATTAATATATA